GATTCAGCCGCTGTTGAAACTGATCAGTTTCAGCAGCGGCTGAATCTGGACGCCAGTTCCGACTTACATACAGATTCAACTTAAGAACAAACCTACAGTCCCTATCTTGTACGTAACCCGGGGACTGCCTGTATTCAATTTGCTCATAATAGCCCCAATCCTACAAGTGAGAGTCACAAGTTTGCCCGAACAGAGTCTCCTGCAAGATCAGGGCGGTATTCCTTTTTGTTTTTAATCACACAGTTGAAATGCAATATTACTAACAATATTGAGAGGCCCAAATTGTGGACAGGACGCCAATGATCAAGGTGCTTTAAAAGCAGTCACAATCATTCCAAAAAGGTTCAAAATTAAGATCTTTCACAAACATGTTACAGATAAAATCCATACAAGTTTATTTTCCATTCTTAGGCTTATCTCATCAATATCTTTTTGTTTCTGCCACCCCAACCTATGATGCTAAAAAGTACTGTGTATCATGTAACGTCTAATACATAAAGGAGAATGTTTGAAAGTTTGGGCGCTAATAACTTGGACACTATAAGAGCTACCACAACCAAACTTTGCATGGGATAACCTTTCATCCAGGAGAAGGTTTTACGATACTTTTGGGCCCGATCGGGCCCGATCTCAACCTGTAAAAATCAAAAATAACCTGCCCCACTGCGCTGCAGGGGCAGCCCCCCCGACCCCAGGTCACGGGCCTGCCACCTGCGGCCTTTTAACTTTCAAAAAAAGACTACTGTTTTTCTACATTTTGTTCCTCTGGTTTCCCAAGCAATGCCGGGTAACTCCAGCTAGTGTCTACATAAATGAAATTTGTACTTATTTTAAAACAATTCCTTTCTAAAAAAGAAGGAAAATGAACACATTCCCAGCTTTCCCAATAAGAAAAGAATATAAAAAGGAATACTAATTTTTTTAACTTTCAAAAAAAGACTACTGTTTTTCTACATTTTGTTCCTCTGGTTTCCCAAGCAATGCCGGGTAACTCCAGCTAGTGTCTACATAAATGAAATTTGTACTTATTTTAAAACAATTCCTTTCTAAAAAAGAAGGAAAATGAACACATTCCCAGCTTTCCCAATAAGAAAAGAATATAAAAAGGAATACTAATTTAAAGTGTGATAACACTCCTTTGCTCCCCCAGCCTATAATTTAAGTAAAAAATGATGGCTAGGATTGATAATTGCCTAACACTATCTACTTGAATAATACCGGTATTTTAGGTAGGACTTATTTTTTAAAAATAAAGTGTGGGCGAGTGGTTGCATTAGGGCCCCTGAAAACACCTGTCCTCAACTCAGAACCATACCATATGCTCCTGCCAGGGAGGAGGAAAGAATGGGAAAACTCAGAATTCCTGATATTACAACTGATTGCTCCTTCACCATGCCCCAGGACATACGAGTGCCACATAGCAGTCCAATTTTTACTGACCAGTAGTAAACTAAGCTTTTACATTACATTTTACTTATACAATTGATTTAAGTAGGAATATTCATCTCTAGGATTAAACACACTGCATTAAGGGTAAACTACCTTGAAAATCATGTCTGAAAGTTTTGTACTTTCTATACTGAAAACTAACAAAAATAACAGAGTTTCTAATCCCAAGAGCCCAAAATTATGTAATTGTCTAAAAAAAAAAGATACTTTGGAAATTTGGGGTCTTTTTCAATTGCCTTCTAGGCTAAGAACTTATGTAATTCACTTTTTTCAAGCTTCTCTCTTTAATCATGAGGGATAGCTATTATTTTAAACAAAGCTGAGATTCAAATTACCAAGATCAGTTTGTTTTTGTTTTTTAAAGCATTTAAATGTTTTCTTTCCAGTTTATCAGTTTGTTTACTCAGTTCATCCGATAGCTCTACAGAAGTCAGTTTCACAGTTCCCCCTAAACTAGGGGCTCTAAAACTTCATTATACCACAACCCCCTTCTGACAGCAAAAATTACTACACGACCTCAAGACAGGGGACCAAAACCTGAGCCCCGCCACCCTGGGCAGAGGATTAAAGCCTACGGGGCCTCAGCCCCATACAGGGCATCTCTAATCTGAACCCAGCACTGGGACTGAAGACCTTAGGCTTATTCTTCATCCCATGTGGTGAGGCTCGGCCTTTGGCACTGGGCCCTAGCAAGTCTAAGGCAGCCCTGATAACCCCATTTTAATGGGGTTGCAACACACAGTTTGAAAACTGTGGTCCTAAAGGAGCTGTGCCTCCCTTTCAAAAGACATTTTTGAACACAAGAAGGGAGAACTGAAGCCCCTATAAAAATGTAAAAAAATTAGAAATTCAAGACAGTTTGTAGGTGTCTCTATCAATTTAATATACATACACAACACATAAAGTAGTGATTACCTGAAGCATTATTATGTCTTTGTCAAACATCTCCTTTCTGCATTTCACATTATGATAGTAATAGATCTGAAAAATAATGCATTTTAGTTAATAAATTCTCCTCCTGGTCTGAAAATGCTTTGTTTACTTCAATGGGGAATCTAACCATCTCATGATAGCAGATTAGTGAAAAAAAGAATGAATTAGCCAATGGATTGGAGGAATGTCTAAAAATTCAAATACACATTGGATACCTATGGACCTTAGATCCCCTGTGAGGTGATATATCTTCAGATAGTTAGGGAGGGAACTGGAACAAGCCTGATATTTTCCATTAAGAAAGACACGTTGCCTTTGAGAAATTCTAACACTCAGATGTTTGTCATTATCTGAAATTTTCAAGTGAGAAAGATCTGGAGCCAAAAAAAGCGTTTTCTTTCTCCCATGACATTCAGTTCAGATTGGTTGCGATAGACACTTTTGAGAACTGCCATTCCCTCCAATTTGTTGCACTATCGAAATGTTAAACATGCCCATACAACTTAATAAATATTTTAATTTAAGACTGCGTCACACTGCATCCAAAGCAGAGGCACCAGTACCTCACACTCTACAGGAAAACTAAAGAACAGACAGTCTCTCCGGGGAGCTTCTGGGGAGAGGGAGCACGCAGATACACAGACTATCAGAAGCAACACCATGGGGGCGGGGGAGAGGAGGACAGGGGAGGCTGCCACGAAGCAGCCCCAGTCTGCGACAGCTAGGGCTGGCTGCCAACAGAGGCTGTTCTGGCCACAGGCCCTGTTTGCAGCCATCCCCAGCTGCCTTGAGCAGAGGATGCTCCAGCTGCAGCCCCAGTTCGTAGCCAACCATGGCTGCCTTGAACAGAGAATGCACTGGCTACAGCCTCTGTCCGAGAGCTGCTTCCAGCGTAGCTCCTGTCTGAGGGGGTTCCAGCTCCCTGGTGGGACCCCCCCCCACAGACGGTAGCTGCTGGACTCAGTGCAAGTCAGGACTGAACAAGCCAGTTCAGGCCCAGCTTGTGCCAGGTCCAACAGCAACCTCCGCTGTGGCTCTGCAGTTTAAATGTAGTATGAGCCGAGCAGGCAAGTGTTCCCTAAATCCTCTTCCCATCCACATGTCCATTTTCCATCCCCATCATCTCCAGAAAAACAGCCTTCTGCTCTAGCTAATTAGTATATTTATTCCTTTAGATCAAGTTGGGCTGCAATGCTAAAGATTTAGGGTTCAAGCCCTAGTGATGATGCACTTTGGGATGGTTGTTAGAGTTGCACACAATAGAATTTGTTACCTTTTTCCTTCTAAAAATATTACATACCAAAAGCTATAACTAAAAGAACTTAACAGGAACAGTCAACATTTATGCTACCCATTCTGGAGGAGAGGCTTCAATATAGATGCAAAATACAATTAATAAAATAAATATTAATAAAAATTGCTATCAAGCAATTAAAAAAATTAATCATGATTCATCGTGCTGTTAAATAATAAGACGACTCCAGCTGACCCTGGACTCTGAGCTGCACTGCCCCTTTGAAACAACTCCGCAGCATTTCAAATGGGCAGCGCTGTGGGAGCCCGGAATCAGCTATGCAGTGCTGCCCTATGAAATATGCCACAGCGTTTCAAAGGGGCAGCGCAACTCAGAGCCTGGGGTCAGTTACCCCGGGCTCAATGCAGCGCTGGCACCGCAGTATTTCAAAGAGGCAGCACTGTGGGAGCCCAGGATTAGCTGAAGTAGAGGAGTGTTAAGGTGTATTAGTAGTAGGGAGTGGTAATCAGTAGGATGAGTTATTCAAGCAATAAACTAAGGCATACCTGTAGGTCTATTAACCACTTCTTTGCAAATAAAAAAAAAAATACCACACCCCCCAGTTAAACCCACACAAAGAATTATTCTAAAAACTTCATTCAGATAAGCCTCTAAGAAAAAAACGTGTGGTTGGAAGTATTTTAGTGTTCAAATGCCTATGATGATAAAAGTTATTTTGAAATGCATATTTGGTATCTAAATGAAAGCCTTCATATAATAATGGCCTGATACTAGATAAATAATAAAACAAGTTATGTACAAATACAACAAGGCAATTTGATGCTCTAATTGGTTACTTATGTAAGTACAAAATATGTACACAGATGGAAACTGAACTGAATGCCATTCATTCAACACCTCAACCAATTCCAATAAGCAGTCAAATAAGCTCTCAGAAAACTGTCGGGGGGGGAGAGAGAAGTGTTAAAACTTGTTTAGGAAGTTGACTAATGCTTTCCTGCCACAAGAAAAACAGGGGGTGCTTATTAATAAATATACAACATTTCTTTAAACTACATACCTATTACGGGGCTACTATTGGGTGGGTGCATAACTGGCTGGATCACCTCTCTCATAGAGTAGTTATTAATGGTTCACAATCCTGCTGGAAGGACATAACAAGTGGGGTTCCACAGGGGTCTGTTTTGGGACCAGTTCTATTCAATATCTTCATCAATGATTTAAATATTGGCAAAGAGAGTAGACTTATTAAGTTTGCAGATGATATGAAGAGGGGGAAGGGTTGCAACTGCTTTGGAGGATAGGGTCATAATTCAAAATGAACTGGACATATTGGAGAAATGGTCTGAGGTAAAGAAGATGAAGTTTAATAAGGACAAATACAAAGTACTTCACTTAGGAAGGAACAATCAGTTTCACACATACAGAATGGGAAGCGACTGTCTAGGTAAGGAGAACTACAGAAAGGGATTTAAGGGTCATAGTGGACCACAAGCTAAACATGGATCAACAGTGTGATGCTGTTGCAAAAAAAGCAAACACGATTCTGGTATGCATTAACAGTAGTGTTGTGAGCAAGACACGAGAAGTCATTCTTCCGCTCTACTCTGCACTAATTAGGCCTCAATTGGAGCACTGTGTGCAGTTCAGCACAACACATTTCAAGAAAGATGTAGAGAAATTGGAGAAGGTCCAGAGAAGAGTGACAAGAATGATTAAAGGTTTAGAGAATATTGACCTATGATGGAAGACTGAATTGGGGTTGTTTAGTTTGGAAAGGAGAAAACTGAAAGGGGACATGATAGCAGTTTTCAAGCATATGAAAGGGTGTCAGATGGAGAAGGGAGAAAAATTGTTCTCTTTAGCCTCTGATAAGACAAGAAATAATGGGCTTAAACTGCAGCAAGAGAGGTTTAGATCAGACATTAGAAAAAACTTCCTAACTGTCAGGGTGGTTAAACACTGGAATAAGTTGCCTAGGGAGACTGTGGAATCTCCATCACTGGAGAGATTTAAGAGCAGGTTAGATAGATGGTACTGGGTCCTCTCGAGGTCCCTTCCAGTTCTAGTGTTCTATAATTCTATAAGTATGAGGATCATCCATAAAGGAATGGAGCAAGTGAGAAGAATGACAGCAGTGAACTTAAATCTAAAGAAGCCTGAAAGAGTTGTTTTCTTATATAATGGAAATAGGAGAAGGATATAAAAGATATTAAGTGGGCCCACAATTCATGCACTTCCATCTTTTTAAATAGAAAGCATACCACAACTTATCCTGTCCACCACCATGAATGAGCTGCCATAGGCAGATAAGAAAAACCTCAAGGAAACCAAACAAGCAAAATCTTTTCAGAACTTCAACATGGATTGATGTGAGGAAGTTAATTCAGACACTAGATTTAAAACTCTTACTGGGGTATTAAAATGCTATTGTAACTTAAAAAGGACTAACAGTTTCTCTTGTTTATCACCAAGTTGTTAGTATGTATAATCTTGGAGAAAAGACAGGACCTAAACATCAGTAAACAGAGAAATAGTGGCATTTAATTGGATTCAGTATTCGTAATATTGCTTAATTGGCCTGCCTGAAGACAGTTCCTTATGTGGCTTATTCTAAGAATTGATTTAATTTTTGTTTTATTTCAAAGAATGTACAGTACTTAACACTTCTTACTTTACCAACACCAAAATGGTTACTTAGTAGCCAACAGGTCAACATACTATGAAACAATTTTTTCCAACCCATCTATAAACATGCTTGTTTTCTAAAAATATACTATGGAATGGATTTGCAATAATATTAATCTTACTTATGAAAAATATTATTGCAAATACATTCCATAATATGTGCTTAGATAACTAAGAATATTTACAAATGGACAAAAGTCTCTCTTAAAAGCTCCTCACAAAGATGTACAAAGAAAATGTAACAGAAGTAACCATGTGCACTATTTGTGTTCAGTGTCCCTGTTCCTTCTTTAATAAAAATAATCATGGTTAATAATTGTGAGTACAGGCAGTCCTCGAGTTACGCGGATCCGACTTATGTTGGATCCGCAGTTACGAACGGGGCCCGTCTCCCTGGTCTCCAGCAGACCAGGGAGAGGAAGCAAAGCGGCGGAGCACGTGGGCAGCGGACAGCCCAGACGAGTCTGGGCTGTCCGCTGCCCGCGTGTTCCGCCGCTTTGCTTCCTCTCCCTGGTCTGCTGGAGACCAGGGAGACGGGCCCCGTTCGTAACTGCGGATCCAACATAAGTCGGATCCGCGTAACTCGAGGACTGCCTGTACTCACAATTATTAACCATGATTATTTTTATTAAAGAAGGAACAGGGACACTGAACACAAATAGTGCACATGGTTACTTCTGTTACATTTTCTTTGTACATCTTTGTGAGGAGCTTTTAAGAGAGACTTTTGTCCATTTGTAAATATTCTTAGTTATCTAAGCACATATTATGGAATGTATTTGCAATAATATTTTTCATAAGTAAGATTAATATTATTGCAAATCCATTCCATAGTATATTTTTAGAAAACAAGCATGTTTATAGATGGGTTGGAAAAAATTGTTTCATAGTATGTTGACCTGTTGGCTACTAAGTAACCATTTTGGTGTTGGTAAAGTAAGAAGTGTTAAGTACTGTACATTCTTTGAAATAAAACAAAAATTAAATCAATTCTTAGAATAAGCCACATAAGGAACTGTCTTCAGGCAGGCCAATTAAGCAATATTACGAATACTGAATCCAATTAAATGCCACTATTTCTCTGTTTACTGATGTTTAGGTCCTG